TTGTACTGGTAGTAATAGTAGTAGTTGTAGTAGTAGTAGTAGTAGTAGTAGCAGTGGTGGCAGTGGTAATAGTAGTAGTAGTAGTAGTAGTAGTAGTAGTAGTAGTAGTAGTAGTAGTAGTAGCAATAGTAGCAGTAGTAGTAGTAGTAGTAGTAGTAGTAGTCGTAGTAGTGGTAGTAGTGGTAGTAGTCATTGTAGTCATACTAAAGGAATTGTAATCGTGACCGTGATCGTAGCAATGATTGTAATCATAGTTCAACCATCACGACGACGACGACTACTACTACTACTAAAACTACGACTGCGACGACAGCTACGATTACGACCACGACTACGACGTACGACAACGTCTACGAACTTTCATGGTAGTGATACACCTGATAGTAACAACCATAGTAGCAATAATCGTAAACAGTAGAAACCATATAGCTTATCATCAGAATACCAATTACCATAAACTCAGCCGTCAGAGGAGTAATGCATACTAGCAGGTTACTAGCATGCCTATGATTGGGGATAATGCTACGTTCAGAGTCTGCTTTCGTGAACAAAAATGTAGTAGTATTCGCAAGCATCTAGCAATTGTATTTGTATGAGACTTAGTATTGGTTCCATAATGACTTATGACAGTTCGGCAATTTCCCTTGGGCTTCGTATCGCTTTGCAAAGCGAGAAGTTTCCCAGCCTGTAAGGCGTAAGGCTTTCGGCAACATCGACTTTAAACTCCAGCCTTCGTTTAGGGTTTAGGGCCCTTTAGGGCTTTGTACTGAGTCGTGGTGCGTCATCACAATTTAGGAACTTGTTTGATGCGCTCAGCTCAACCCGCACGACTGCGTTCCCTGAGGATTGTTTCTGGCTTGCCATGTTGCGACTTATATCGTTCACACTCATTTAAGTGGAGATACATTTTATGTGCATAGATGCATGTATGCGAATGTCCTTGCACAAACAATAAGAGCACCAGCACCCATTTTCACCTTACATAACATCGCTAGTGTTGATGTTGACGATGGTGTTTACTGCCACGAAACCATCTGTAGAAGTCAACTCTGAGCCCGAACCTTGAGATGCCCGGCACCTGATTGCTGGCAGACAGGCGGATTGATCCGAGTTGGGCCAGGGGAGAAGTTGGCTACTGATCGCTGCCGGCTCCGCTTCTTTTCTTGAGACCATGCCGGGCAGTTTTGCTGCTTCTAACTTGTATATGATGGTTCAGGGTTTGAAATTGTCTGACAATGCCCATGGTGATGCTCACTGGTATTACCAACATATGCTATTCATCATGATGGTGCCGCCTACTGCTGCTGCTGCTGCGGCTTCGTTTACTGCTACTCACATCATTCTGCTCATCATAATCGCTGTAATGTAATAATCAACAATCATAGTTTGTGCCGTGCTGACTCTTTCTATCATTGTCAGCTGCGTGACGAGTATGACGATTTTGTGTATCGCCATCAGCCCCACACTCCCAGTATTTGCCACGATTATATATATGTGTATATATATATATATATATATTTGTGTGTGTGTGTGTGAATTCTTACTTCATTTGTTTGACTTTCCTTCGAGATCATACCAACGACAATACGTTTCAGTAGTCTTGCCCTTGTAATGACGATGATGGTGATGAGTTTTTCATTACTGCGACCTCATTTGGGCCGCGGGCGATGCCACAGAGGCAGGGATTTATCTTCCTTTATGGTTGTTGTGAGCGTGATGATTGGTTAATCATCGCTACTCTCGTCTGAACACCGCACTTCGAACTAGCTTTGCTCGTCATAGAGACAGCGATCATGAGCCCCGGCATTGGCTCAGTTCTATGTAATGACTGCGATTTCAGGGGGGGCACCAGATGCAGGGTGTCGTCGGCGACAGTGGCAGAAAACCTGCTGGCTGTCGTGAAAACTTGGATTCAATGCATGACTGGTCGACTGCTGCCCTAGTCATGCACTTTATATTTGCATATTCGAGCTAGGATGAGCAATATTGCTCAATTTGCGCATGCGGGTCATTAAAAGGCGCGTTTGAGAACGGTCGGTCGCCATTGACTCCGGTGCATGGCCGGAGGCATGTGTGTGCTTATGATTTATACCCCACGTACAGAATCATCTTGACACAACTTAGCCAGATACAATTGCTAAGGCAAATCATGTCAAGGTGCTCCCGAAACCTCTGCTTCCTCCTGCGTGAGCGGCTGTGCCGCGTCTGCCCCTCCATTCTGGGTTTCGGGTATAGTGCCTAAACCCGAAGCCCTAAAGCTAGCAACGCAGAAGTAAGTTATCAGCTACAGTCTAGGATTTGTAGGCCTTGTTCAGTCCGAAGCAAAGCCAATGGTAAGAGTGGCAATAAGATTGCTCAGCGCAGCTCTGACAAGTATAGTGATAATCGTTCTGGCAGCTGTTGTGCCGATGGTTTTAGTGCCACCTATGATGTGCATGTACAACATACTGCTACAAACACTGACAGGATCAACAGCAGTCATGATCTCGGGTGGTAGCAGTACGGATGAAGAGAAGCCACGTGCAGTACAAAATTCAGATCGAGGCACTTACAATATATAGTACCGGAGTTGGCCAGAAGGATTATCAAAGATGCAACGAAAGTATTAAGGTACCAGCAATATTCATACTTTCCAACACAACCGCTTCTGCTGTTTGTGAAGCTAAGCCAGATACTGTGTCCAAAACAACCAAAACGTCAACGACCACAGCAACAACCAAACAGCAACAGGAACGACACCACCAACAATGACAAGTAACGAACAACGAGGAACCCCCCTCCCAACAAAACAACAAAGCAGCAGCAGCAGCAGCAGCAGCAGCAGCAGCAGCAGCAGCAGCAGCAGCAGCAGCAGCAGCAGCAGCAGCAGCAACAGCAACAGCAACAGCAACAACAAAAGCATCATAAATTGGTGCTGCCGCTCATTGCCGTCGTTGCTGCTGCCTGCAGAAAGCCATTGTGTTGCACCAGAGTCGGCACAATCTCTCGTCCTCTTCCTCGCAGTCGCAATGCATTATCACTGGTGGTGATAGTAGCACTACATCTTATGATGATGCTAGTCTTGTTGTCATTGCGATTTGTCTTCGTCGCCGTCGTTGCTGCCGAGTAGTACATAGTTTGTAGCCGCAACAGAAAGCCCAGGCATGGTAAAGGGCCCCGGACCCCAACAGCAGAAGCCCAGGAAAAGCCAGGTTCAAAGAGATGTGTCAGCGACAAGAGCCGGAACCCATAGCTTCAGATCCCACTGGCCGACCTGTCTTAGGAATTACTGATGATAGCAGTGTTCTCTTATACGACTCGGACTCCTTCTAGTTTTCGAATTCTGAAGTCAAGCTGTCAAGCTTGATGACCGACTGAAAGCCAAAGACATGCCAGACCTCTGCATCGGTCTTATGAGTCAGAAGCTTTCCGACACCATGTCGCATCCCTTGTAGCCCAGCAAAAAGAAAACAAGATCAACTTCTTAGCAGAACTGAGTGATGACCGAGGCCGAAGACCGGATCTCTGGCGAGCTCTCCTCTTAGGCGGTTTCTCTTCGTGGGGCCTTGCACGTAGTCGTCTTGCACATGCAGATCCAGTCTGATGAGTACAATTTAGTCTTTTGGGGGTCGAGTCTAGGGTCACTCGCTGAATCACATCATGTGTGACGGTCTTGTATTTTGGTTTTTTGTTGACTTCTCCGCGTTCTCACGACATGACCCTCTTGCACATTCAGCCACATCCAGGGCTGTACCTTGGTAGACCTGATTTCTGCGCACTTAGGCTGAGGGCAAGCGAGCCACATCGCAAGCTTGTAGAAGTTGTTGGCCCAATTTAGGAGTCTCGGGTAGGTTCTACTAGACCTAAACTTAAAAGCCTGGACCCTACGCCTCCGGCAGAAGGATCACTGCAGCTGCTACTCTTTCCTAGTCCTGGTCGACTTCTCCTTAAACTCTTCTAGCGCTACCCCTGGAAGTGGGTGTGTCAGCTTTCGACTCTATCTTTGAGCTTATCTAGGGCCTTGAATAAGTACCAAGGGTGTTCCTAAAGGGTTTCTTCTGATAAGTATACCCAGTTACGTCCCACAGCCTTGTTCTGAATGTTAAGACCCCTAGAGCAATCCTTTCAGTAGGCACTCCGAAGTCCTGGGCCGAGCAAAGATACATGGGAGGTCGTCTCCTCACCTCCGGGGTGCCTCGTCCTTCCTGTCCAGCCTCGGACTGCCCACTTCTCCAAGCAAGGACCACCCTAAACCCCTAAACCCCTA